ACAGACGGCAGCCCACCAGGCTCCCCCGTCCCTGGGATTCTCCAGGCAAGAACACTGGAGTGGGTTGCCATTTCCTCCTCCAGTGCATGCATGCATGCTAAGTCACTTCAGTCGTGTCCGACTCTATGCGACCCCATGGACAGCAGCCCACCAGGCTCCTCCGTCCACAGGACTCTCCAGGCAAGAACTCAGGAGTGGGTTGCCATTTCCTTCTCCAAAAGAAGATGTTAAAGGAAAATAAAAAAACAAAGAAGGTGTAAACCTTGGTTTCCCAAGAAAGGAAAAAGACCCTGGAAGTGGGTTTCACATGAGGAGAGTGATATTTGTTTGGTTTTGGTTTCGATTCTGTTTGGTTTTAATCACAAAGTGTTTGGGGCATGGTTTTGAGCCGTGAACAGAGAGCCAGTAGAGGGAGAGGTTGGCAACACCGAGGGAGAGCCTGATGCAGGGAAGGCCCCGGGCCTGGGGGGGTGGGTGGACTCACCTAATCAGCAGGAGGGGAAGGAAAGATGGCAGAGGGAGCAGGTGCCCAAGTGAAGCTCCCTGCCCGTGCTGTGACACGCACCCCACTTTCCTGGGGTAAGCAGATGTCTGCTGCCTCCTGGTTCTGCTCTCGTCCTCCCTCAGATTCAAGGCAGAGCTCCTCCTCAGTTCTCCCGTCTGTCCTTTTTATCTTTTTGGAGTTTAGTGGCTTCGCAGTCTTGTTTGGTATCTGCTGCAGAGCGAAGTGAATCAGCTGGAAGTAGACCTGTCTCTCTTCTCTCGGACCTCACTCCCACGCCCCTCTGTCATCGCTGTCCAGTCGTTCAGGCGTGTCTGACTCTGCGACCCCGTGGACTGCAGCACGCCAGGCTTCCCTGTCCTTCACCATCTCCTGAGTTTACTCAAACTCATGTCCATTGAGTCTGTGATGCCATCCAAGCATCTCATCCTCTGCCTTCCCCTTCTCCTCCTGCCCTCAATCTTTCCCAGCATCAGGGTCTTTTCTAATGAGTCAGCTCTTCGCATCAGGTGGCCAAAGTATTGGAGTTTCAGCTTCAACATCAGTCCTTCCAATGAATATTCAGGGCTGATTTCCTTTAGGATGGACTCGTTTGATCTCCTTGCAGTCCAAGGGACTTTCAAGAGTCTTCTCCAACACCACAGTTCAAAAGCATCAATTCTTTGGCGCTCAGTTTTCTTTTTTTTTTTTTCAGTTTTCTTTATGGTCCAGCTCTCACATCTATACATGACCACTGGAAAGACCATAGCTTTCATTAGACAGACCTTTGTTGGCAAAGTAACGTCTCTGCTTTTTAATACACTACATTTGTCATAGCTTTTCTTCCAAGGAGCAAGAGTCTTTTCATTTCATGCCTGCAGTCACCATCTGCAGTGATTTTGGAGCCCCCAAAAATAGTTTGTCACTGTTTCCATTGTTTTCCCATCTATTTGCCATGAAGTGATGGGACCAGATGCCATGATCTTCATTTTTTGGATGTTGAATTTTAAGCCAGCTTTTTCACTCTCTTCTTTCACTTTTATCAAGACTCTTAAGTTCTTCTTCTCTTTCTGCCATAAGGGTGGTGTCATCTGCACATCTGAGGTTACTAATGTTTCCCCCTGCAGTCTGGATTCCCTAGGTCCCACTCCCCCAGGTCATCACAGAAGAAGCAGGTTCCCACCAGCTGTCTATCTTACTCATGGCAGTATCTACATGTCAAACCCGATCTCCTCATTCATCCCACCCTTCTCCCCTCCCCACGTCCACACATCCGTTCTCTGTGTCTTCGTCTCTGTTCCTGCCCTGCAAATGTGTTCATCTGTACCATTTTCTAGATTCCACATATATGCATTACTAGATGATATCTTTCTGACTTACATCACTCTGTACAAAAGACTCTGGGTTCATACACATCTCTTCAAGTGACCCAACTTCATTCCTTTCTGTGCCTGAGTAATATTCCACTGTATATATGTATCTCATCCTCTTTATCCGTTTCTCTCTCATCTGTTCTTATATTCAGTTAATATTCATGGGGCTCCTGCTTGGTGACAGGCATTTTGGAATATAACAGACCCAAACGGAGCAGGCCCCTGACCTCCTGACCCTTGGGTCCTGGGGGAGGCTCTTCCATGTCTGGTTGGACGTTTGTTGGCTGCTCCCCACAGGCCACTCTGACTGACACCCCACCCTCCACCTTCTCTGCCTTCCTCCTCTTCCTCACTGTCCCTTACTTCCCTCCCGGCCATCCACCTGTCTAGTCTGAGCCTGGACGCTGGAACTCAGGGGCCATGTAGGAAAAGGGAAAGGCAAGAGTTAAAGCTAGCTTCCAGGAAAAATTTGGAAACCGAAGATTGCCGTGGGAATTTGCTGCAGAATGCCTTTTGCTCCAGTCCCCCATGTCCTCAGAGCCCTTCTTGCTACTTTAAGATTAGGCCCTGTGCCGCTTTTCTAGATTCCACATGTGTGCAGTGTACAACTTTTATTTTTCTCTTTCCGACTCACTTCACCATGTACAGATGAAGCTATTTGCAAAGCAGAAACAGACAGATGTAGAGAACAAAAGAATGGACAACAAGTGGGCTGAGGGAGGGTGAGATGAATTGGGAGATTAGGAGACTGACTGACATACACTACTCTGTATAAAACAGACAACTAGTGAGAACTTTCTGTATAGGACGGGCCAAAGAAGAAGGTACAGTCTGTTCATAGGGCATATATTAACCTTAAAAATGCATTCCAGTGTACATTAGGTCCAGACAAATACTGTTTGATTTCACTTATATGAGATGAAATTCAAAGTCAGAAAGTACACTGGTAAAAACCACGGGAATGGGGGGTGGAGGTGGGTGGGAAGGGGCGATGGAGAGTTAGTGTCTAATGGGGCAATTTCAGTTTAGAAAGGTGAAGAATTCAGGGGATGGGTGAGGTTGAGAGTTGCACAATAATGTGAAGGTACTTAGTGCTACTGAAATGTACAGTCAAATAGTTAAAATAGTATATTTTATATTTCGTGACTTTTACCACAGTAAGAAAAAAAAAAAAGATTAGGCCCTAACCTTGACATTCCTGACCCCTTATTTCAAGTTCTCCAAGTTTCTCCATCCTCTATCCAAACTCCTCCTCTCTCATTACAGTTATTCTCAGCTGATAAGTAGGACAAAGACAATTTCAATTAACTCGCACTGATTTTTGAATGGTTGGTATCACCTTTCTTGGGGTAGGGGGAGGTGGTTGCATTTTACAAGTGACTCTAGGTTTATAACAAGGGATCTTTCATTTGTCCTATTTTTTGGCAGCATAATAAAAGAAGTGAGGTGTGTATTTCAACATGAGGCATCCTCTCCCCAGGGTCAGTCTCCCCAAACTTCTCCATTTCCTTACAGCTTCCACCATTTTCCTCCTGGATCCATCAATTCTCTGACACCCCCAAGATTTTTCTTGTCACCTCCTCCCTTGCCTGCCCCCCTCCACCAGTTTCTATGACAACAGCAACTGGGCACAGGTGGGGAGGGGGCGGGGCAGGGGGCGGGCAGCTGCAGCCATTAATAGGGATTGTTTCCAAGTCAGGGGGTGAGGGGTGCCAGGGGCTTGTTGGCACAAAGAATGCAGCCTCCCCATGTCAACGAGGCATCCACCTAGAGCTGAGCTCACTGATGGTATTCCCCATGCCTGTGGGTTTTCACAGAGAAGCATGTTGGGCCCGCAGGTCTCTGGCTCCCTGATACTGGGGAGCTTTGGGGTTCAAATAGAATGCAGTTCCCCCAGCCACTTGCGTTTGTGGTAGAAATGGCAGCCTTCCACCGCAGCGGATCGATGTTCGGGAAGTCAGTGCTGCAGGGACTGCTGCAGAACAAGGTCTGAGCACCGGAGGCCCCACGGGGGGAGGCTTAGGGAAAGTGCCATCGACCGATGCTCTGTCCTCTCCTTTAGATGTCTGCTCTGGGGGGCTCTGTTCTCTCAAAAGTCCTGGAGTCAGCCGTAGCTCTTGGGCACATTTTTGGGAGTTTGTGAATTTCCTGAACTTTGAGATGACAGTGGTTTTCCCTCGACCCAAGATGTTACCCTAGAAACTCAGGAGTCTAGGTCAGCTGCCCTCAGATTTTAATGTGCCTCCGCATCTCCTGGGAATCTTACGACAAGGCAGATTCCAGCACAGGAAGGCTGCGGGGAACCTGAGAGTGCATTTCTACCTAGCTCCCAGGTGAGGCCCGTGCTGGGGGCGCACAGACATTTTGAGTAACAAACACTTGGAATTGCCCTGTCGGCTACTTCAAGCGCTAGCCCACTTGTGACTGTTTAGCTTAACGCTAAATTAATTACAGTGAAATAAAATGAAATATTCATTTTGCACTGTGTGCCTGCATGCTAAGTTGCTTCAGTCAGAACCAGCTGTTTGCAATTCTATGGACTCTAGCCTGCCAGGCTCCTCTGTTCATGGGGATTCTCCAGGCAAGAATACTGGAGTGGGTTGCCATGCCCGCCTCCAGGCGATCTTCCTGACCCTGGGGCCAAACCCACATTTCTTACGTTTCCTGCACTGGGAGACGGGTCCTTTGCCACTAGCACCACCTGGGAAGCCCCTCGGCCTGCACTGACCGTGCAAATGCTCAAATGCTCAGTACTCACATGGGGCTGGTTGCTGCCATCTTGGACTGCACAGATTAAGGCACACATTTAAGGATCACGGGAAGTTCTCTTGGAGGGCACTAGCCTAGGGTGAGCCTCTGTGCATCATTCATCCATCCATCCATTTATTCACTGAGCACCTGTCATGTGCCAAACAGTATGCTTGGTGCTGGGCATTAAACTAGCAGAAAAAGAGAATGTCGTGCTCTTAGAGATACCTGTGGTATGGTGAGGACTCCAGAGTGGGTTACACTGAGCTTTGCTATGCAGGCTGGAGGAATGGAAGTCCCCTGAGAGCTGCGTGTGGATTCTGAACCAAGCTGTGGCATCATCACGAAATCGCAGTGCTTATGAGATTGGCTGCTGACATGGCTTTTCACCCTTGCAGGGCCATAATCATCAGAAACGGAGAAATCATCCCCATGTCTTCAGAGTTCACCCCTGAGACCGAGCGCCAGCGGCTGCAGTACCTGGTAAGTGCCCCGTGGGTCTGGCGGAGCGCGGTGGCATCGGGGAGGGCGTCGGGGCAGTTTTGGAGGAACACTTGGCTACTGACATGGGAGCAGACCCACAGCAGTAAAATGACATATGGCATTAACTCCCCCCACACACACACCTCCTGGGTCACACACCCTGGCTTCGTGTGTGACGACACACTCCACCTCCGTGAGTTTATTATGGAGGCCGGCTTTCTCCCATCTGTGACCAATCAGAGACACAGCGCGAGAGCGCTTATTGTAATGATTTGGTACGTACAGTATGAAGCGTGGTGTTAAAGAATGCGGACACCTTGTCCCCAGGCCTGCCACCCACTCTAACTCAAAGGGTACAGATGAGTATTAATCTCATGTGAGGAGGGAGGCACCCCAGAAACCCGATGACACCCCATGACTTCATGCTCCGATACAAAGTCTCGGGCCCTTCTGGAGAAATGCAGGTGTCTAAAATCTGAAATCTGTGTCTAACCTGAAAATAGATTCTCCACATAGATCCCACTCTTTGGAGTAAAATTATGAGCGGGCTCTAGGAGGACCGTTTGGTTTATCAGATCTTGAGAATTTGTGCTTTATTGAACATTTGAGTTTTCTGGAAAATGGAGTAAATGTCCTGCCCTTATGTCCCAGCCGTAGGGCATTAGGCTTTTATGATCATGAGGCTGATGTCATGATGATGGTCATGATCCAGGACTGCTTTGCAGTAGGCATCTTGGGAACCAGCTGCAAATATAGTCTGTGGATGATGTATTTTCTTGCCAGTTGACTTTCTTTTTAGGTAAAAGGCTAAGATAGTGACATTCTACTCTTAGAAAAGAATTGATACAGCCTACTCTGAAAGGAACTCGTTTGTGTCTCTGAATTCTGGCACGTGGGCATAGTCAGGACTTGATGACTTTGGTTGATTTAGCAAGAAGCTATGTGAAACTAAGAGTCACTCAGTCATGTCTGACTCTGCAACCCCATGGACTGTAGCCTGCCAGGCTCCTCTGTTCATGGAATTCTCCAGGCAAGAATACTGGAGTGGGTTGCCATTCCCGTCTCCAGGGGATCCTCCTGATTCAAGGATTGAACCTGGGTCTCTGGCACTGCAGGCAGATCCTTTACCATCTGAGCCACTGGGGAAGCCCAGGAAGCTGTGCAGAAGCCCAAGAAACCCAAGCTTCCCTCAGTTCCCACGACTGTGTCGTGTTGGTTTTACTCAGTAGCTGAGCTGTGTTGATTTGGGTTGTTAACTTGGTCCACAAGACAGCAGGAGTCTAAAGCCGAAGTAAAAGCATTTCTTCATTCTTTTACTATTATTTTTGAACCCATCTGTTGCTGTTTACAAGCTAATAAACTTGAATCTTTCTGGGCAGCCCAGAGGTTAGAGCGCGTCACTTTGTCTGTCTGTCTGGGCAGGGGGAAGGGAGCAGTGGCAGGATCTCAGCCTGGCCCCATCCTTAAACTCACCAGCTGGGTGGCTGTGTTGTTGGGAGGGTCCTTCCAAGTAGAGTTCACAACAGCCGGCCTGCCTGCCACTTGCCTGGCTCTCTCCATCCCATCGTCCGCAAAGCCTCCATCATGATCTTCACACGCCACACTTCTTTCCCTAAAACCCTTAGGCTCCTTACAGAGCACAGACGGCAGACTCAAAATCGGGCTTCCCGCCCACCTCTCCAGCATCATCTCTGCGTTGCCCCCACCTCTGACAGGGTATGTTGTGGGCTGTGGCCATGGAGAACCATCTTCCAAGACACACCGTGATCTCTCCAACCTCTGTGCCTCTGGAAATAAGCTCTGCCTGGATAGCCCTTCCCCTCTTCTCTGCCAGGAAAACTCCTCCTCATTTCTTGAGACCCCAGAAGAAATGTCGCTTCCTCCAGGACGTGTCGCCTCCCCCTTTCCGGGGGCCAGTCCCCAGTGCTCACCTCGTGCTGTGTGGGAACCCGTAATGTAGCCGTCACCAGGTGGTATTTTACTGCTTATTCCTTATTCTGCCTCCCCGCTTCCAGACTGAGTCTTTGGGAGGCAGGCCCCTTACCTTAGGCATCGTACCTTGTTGTTACCGAGCACAGAGCTGATATTGATCAGGATTTGTTGACTGAAGTGTTCATATTGATGTCTGGATCATCATCCAAGCACCTCGCACCTCCGCACCGTCCCCGAAAACCCCTCACCGCAGGCAGTATGCCTCTGTGGCCCCCTGCCCCACCAAGCCTCAGGCCCACCCTGTCCTCACCACCTCTGTGCTTCTTCGTAAAAACCATTTCCTGTTTTCCTGCTGCAAGCGATGAGTAATAGCAGGTTCTTCACTTTTGTATTTTTAAATACTTTCACATTTTTTTGGGGCGTGGCAAAAATGGTACCAAGAGCTTAAAACATTAACTTTTCTGGAGGGAGGCAAGTGCTGACCTTGTTCAGATTTGGAGTCCAGTGTCAGTGGTCTGCCTGGGGACGGGTGGAATAAGATGTGTGTGACTTCAGAGCTCAGCCTTGTCACGCGACTGTGTCTGTGAATTCTAGAATGTCCTTCACTGATCCCCAGTTTCATTGCCAGTAATGGGCCCAGAGAACAGCAGAAGGCAGGTATAAGGATGAAATGAAATAATAAATGCACAGTTTTTCGTGACACATAGTTCTCATTTGCTTACTGTTGGATGAATCAAAGTCTTGCCACTTCAGATTCTACTGGCCTGTAAACCACAGTGATACTGTCCCTTTATTTTTATTTAAGAATCACTCCTAATGTTCCCAAAATTGATGTGTATTTGGGTGTCACTCTTGCATAATCAGTGGACACTCTTAGCCCACAAACTGAGTCTAATATCTGAATTTCTAAGGGTGAGAACACTGTCTTCATTCTTTTTCATCCTTGCTGCTAAACCATACAAACTTCTCTACATGGAAATTCTACCTAAAACTTGTCTTCTCAGACAGTGGGAGTGTAAATGACCAAAACATAAAATATCCTGGCTGCCCAACTTCCTATTCTGTCGGAAGTCTAGGAATGTATGCTTTGAAATGAACAAATCCATGAGTAATATTCACATAATCTGTGATGCAAATCTTTGTGGTGAAGTATTTGAGAGAACTAGGGGGCTAGTAGCGTAAAATAAACTTGTGGTCAAATCTTTACCATATTTTAGAGAATTGGGAGGTTTATAGCGTAAAATCTTGAAAATAATATCAGTTGTGAAAGGAAAACACAAGTGTGACGGGGACTTCTCTCAGCCCAGCCCGGGCAAGTGCTGTGTGACCTTGGATTTCTCACAACGTCTCTGCGTCTCCCTTTCTCCTGAGCGAAATGTGTAGGAATACTTCCCTTGAAATACCCATCACAGGCCCTGAGATCACAATGAAAAGTCATCTCGAGGGCCTTCCCTGGTGGCTGAGTGGTGAAGAACCCGCCTGCCCATGCAGGAGGCCCGGGTTTGACCCCTGATCCGGGAAGGTCCCACAAGCTGTGGAGCAGCGAAGCCCGTGCGCCACAGCTGTTGAGCCTGTTGCTCCAGGGCCCGGGAGCCACAGCTCCAGAAGCCCCCACACCCTACACCCCTGCTCTGCAATGAGAGCAGCCCCAACTAGAGAGTGGTACTGCAGCTGGAGAGTGGTCCCGGCTCTCTGCAGCTAGAGAAATGCCCACGCGGCAACAAAGACCTATAGCCAAAAATAAAATAAACATAGGCAATTATTTTAAAAGGTCATCTCATGATAATATAAAATACAATATATCCATTCTGATTTCAGGTTACGGTCTAGTGCTACCAGTTTATTTTGGGGCACATCAGTTCGCTTGAACTAATTGTAAAACAATTTTATGCAGTGAGAGCTGTTGTATCCTTTACATGATCTAAACGAGTTAGTATGTTGCCAGAAAGTTAACAATGTATTCCTCAATCTTAGGTCAAATCAAATTTTATTGTCATTATGTCTAAAGAAACATTTATGAGAGAATCAAGAAAACTTCCAGGTCCCTCGAGACTTGGTTTGAGCAGATGACTGCAGTCCCAGGGCTGTCTGACTTGCAGAACTGGTTAATGATTTTCCTGGGGGTGGGGAGGCTTCAGGGCCCTTTGTGCATGAAGTGTTTTGATCCACGTAGGACAGAAATGTTCTTGGTATGCACAGTCCAGACGTTCAGGGATTATGGAACTGGAAGCAGATTACAAGATGATGGATGTGGCAGGCACGTTAATTTTGTTTGGTCTTGCATCCTGACCTCAGAGGGCCCTTCATATAGCTCTCCGGGTAACGTGAACTTTATTCCGTAGATTCTTGGGCTGGGTGATTAATCAAGCAGGCTTGAGGGTTTGACGTGTTCACATGGAATGTGGCAGGTGTGCGAGGGAGGGGGTCAGGGGCCATGCACTTCTGCCCCCCAGCAGCCGGGGAGAGCTGATGATCATAGTCACAAACAAGCCTTGCTCTTTTCTCGCTGGGCTTCTTAAAATTTTGTTAATGTTTCCAGGGTGATTGAAATAAAATATTTTACGGGGTCCACCAAGCTGGACAGAATGTTCTGGTGGGGTCAAGACCCACAAGGTGGGAAAGCAGTCTGGTTTATGGGCATTTCTCAGCAGTCTATTGCTCTGATGCTGTAGGCTCCAGGAAATCACCCCACTCTTGCTTCAGGGGACAGCCAGAAACAGATCTCCCTCTATGGGAGACCTCCACAGCCCTGAGGTGTGAGAGCAACGGCTTCCCCTCCGTTCTGCCGAGACATATTTATAAACTCTGATGCGATTACATTAAGATGTGCTGGTATCATCAGACCTCCCAATAATGTACGTCTGTCCTTGTAGATAATCCAGGTCGGCAGCTGTTTATCATCAAGGGCGATGTGCAGAGGAGATGAAAGTGGGTTTCAGATGCACATTGGATGCACACAAGTGCAACATCATCTGAGGTGATTTCTGATGGTGTCCTTGGACCTGCCCCCAGCCGTCTACACCGAGTCTGATTTGATTTGTCTGCCATTTTCCCTAGTACTGAACTTG